GCCCTCTGAGACTGGCTGCAGCCAGATAAAACTGTTTCTGGCTATCTTCAGTGCCTTGCCTCCTTTGTCCCTACATCAGTATTACCCTGTGTGCTTACGTGACTACACGACTGGGGTGACTCTACATCATGGACTATCAGAAAAGGGAGCAGTTATACTCTATTGATGAAGCCCAGGATTCCATATCCCTGGGATCTATAAACAACCTCCTTATTCCCTTTAAAGCAGTTATTTTGACCAAACACAAGGAAGTGTTAAGTGATTATTCTTTCCCCTCAAGTATAACATTCACAAATAGGAAACAAATGCTTTCAAAAGTGTTCTTCTTGCCAGGGACAGTGGCACAGGACTGTCATTCCAGACATGTGGGAGGTTGAAGCAGGAGGATCACAAGTTAAGGCAGGGCAGGGAGGCAGAAAAGGAGGGAGGGAGGGAGGGAGGGAAGGAGAGAGGGAGGGAGGAAGATTCTTTCCAATATTTCACTAGATGAAAAGTGACAATTAGCAGACGGTGTCCATTTGTCCATTTGGACCGAGTGGGAAGAACGAACGTCTGGCCGAGCTGTTAGGTGGAGGGAAGGAGGGTTTTAGAAGGCAGGAGGCGCCTGCAATTTGGAGGACCTACAGCAGCCTCCGGAGGAGCTCCACTGGGAGAAGGAAGGTGCATTTGTGGCCCTGCTTCCTCCACGTTGGCAAGAGTGGGTGTGGGCCACCAGTAGGGAGCAAAGGGGACACCAGGGCCCTGAGCCGCCCTCCCAAACCCAGGGAACCAGGGAATAGGGCCCAGGGCCACCCTCCAGCCGGGACTCAGCCGCGCTCCGCAGCTAATCTCAAAAACCAAAAACCCAGCTGACCCCAGGGGACCAGGAGACAGGGGCCAGGGCCACCCGCCAGGGGGACTCCGCTGCGCTCCGCAGCTCACCCGCGAGCCGGGCCCCAAGGCAGATGGTGATGCGTACCTTCAGCCCAGGTCGCAAACTCACCATTTTTGGCTTCCGTGGTGACCCGGCGTCCTCTGGAGGAACCTCCGGGTACCCGAGATGGGGGGGCGGGGAACACAGGCTGCACAGAGTCCTTGGGTCCCTGGAGCAGAGAACCCGGCCCTGAGAAGGAGTACCCCAGTAAATAAGACAGAAAAGCCCGCGAGATTGGGGAAGCCCGCCCTCCCCCTTCCTCTGAGCACTGATTGGGCAGTTCCCCCAGCATCCCGGATGGATGACCTCCAGGCCCGCCTCTGCATCGTGACTGACAGCTAACATCATCCAATCACTGGCTGAAATTGGGTAGAGTGACAGGTTCTTGGCCCCAGCCCTTTTCAGGAGGACCTTCCGGACTGTGCTGGGAACTAATCCAGGTGGGAAGCCTTGGCTTTGCCTGTGGTACAGAGGTGACAACTGGCACTGAGCCATAGAGTGCTTCCCGAGCATGGCGAGGCCCTGGGTTTAACCTCAACACAAAAACAAAGGACAGCTTCTCGGGGAGGCTGAGGCTGGAGGAGCCCAAGGTCAGTGAGACCTTCTCTTAAAATAAAATGAAAAAGGTGGGGATGTAGTTCAGAGGTCCAGGTCAAGCCCCACTGGGTTTATTCCCCAGTACCTCAAAGAAAAAGAAAGAACTATATAACATATTTTTTTTCAGGTGATGCGACCTCAAGCAACTTAGAAAGACACAGTCTCCAAATTTTTGAAACACTATTTAAAGATATCATATGTATGACCCACACATAATATCTAAAATTGAAAACTATTTTAGTAATTCTCATCACCTCCTGGCCTCTGTCGCTTTGAGGAGGCAGCCTGACCTATGAAAGGAAGCAATTGGGGTTGGCTCTGATGCTCAGGGTTCCATCCCCAACAGAGAGGGTGGGGGAGGAAGGAAGGCAATCCTCTAGGGCAGCAATGTGTGGTGCAAATAAAATGGGTGCCTTGTGCTTAGTGTAGATGTTCTACTTTGACTGTTAGGAAGTCTTATGCAGAGACCTGACTCTGGGGATCCCACAGGTCTGGTCAGGTGTTTGCCCCAAAATCAAACAGAAAAGGTCATGATGCAAAGCAGGAAAGAAACTTTGACCAGTGCAGCTACACCAGGATGACAAGGAAACCCTGCCCTTATGCTGTCTTCAGGTGCTGACAAGGACTTTGAGGTTTTATAGAAGGATAATCATAGGCTGTATGCACAGGGGAAATTGTATCAAGGATTTAGTGTTATCTGTAGGATTTAAGCTTCAGGCATCTGCATTCTTATACCATGTCTGTGAGCTCACGCTCACTTGCCCCCTTGACACATGTCACTCTATTGCACAGACTGACCTCACTTTGTCAGGAGGAAGTCCCCCTCCAGTGTATTCTTGCCATGGATTTCAAAAAAAGCCACAAACCCGAGAAAGCAACATTCCCCCAGGAGCTGACCCAGTGCTCTCAGCTTCCTGGGTTTCAACTGATAGTCAAACCAGAAAGAAACGAAAACCCTGCTCAGCTTGCCCATTAACCCTGCATATAAACCATAAAAAATTGCAACTTGGGGCCAATACTGCCTGTCATGTCTACCCCCCTCTTGGAAATTAAGTACAATTTTATTCTCTGCTCTTAAGTTGGGCTTTGTGAAGTCTTTCACATCCTCCTCACTGGCCCAAGTTCATTCTACCTAACAATATTGCCCA